GGGGGGGGCGATGGATCTGGACCATCTGCTCAGAAGAGCCTCCAGAACCAAACTCCACAAACTCACTTTATAACTGGACATAAAAATAAAAAAATAAATAAAAAACTGGATAAAATGCTGAGTCATGGTAACATGAGTAGAGTGAGAGCTGCAGTTTATCTCTGCTGCTCCCACCGTGGGTGGACAACAGACAACAGACCACAGACCAGTGTCTGTCAGAATATTTAGATCTGGAAAAGTGTTTTTAAAGTTAAAAAGACAAAGACAAGACCAATCTCAGGTCAAGTTTTTCCCTCGACTATTTCATGGGTTGGAAATGTGATGTGTGAAAGAAAAATATCAGATCATAAATTCAGTCAGAACTTGTTTGGGGGGTAGGGGGGGGGGGCAGGGGTTCCCAAAGTGAGGGACGGGGGGCAGCATTTCTACTGTGAACAAACACACATCCAGGTTTTGTTCCTCCTTGTGGACGTCTCCACCCAGCAGCAGAGTGTGTGTGTGTGTGTGTGTGTGTGTGTGTGCTGACAGATGCAGGCTGTGATTATAAGCAGGACAGCCGTGTGTTAGTGACAGGTAAATCAACAGCTCCCACCACACTGAGGCAGCGACGAGTCACAGCCTGGGGGAGAGGAGCTGCTTTAAATTTAACGTCTTCATTAAGGCCCACAGCCTTATGTGGTGGCTGAGACCGAAGCAGACGGGAGAACACGGCTCCGCCCTCGGCCTCGTCTCCACCCTACAGCTGTGTAGTCTGTGTGACACCCGGTCATGGGGGTTTACAGCCCTAATTTGTGGAGTTAGGATCAGATGAGGTTTAATGAGTTCATTCAATCCCATTAAAACTGGTCATGACATGAATGTGACGTGTGATCTTTTTACTGCAGTTAATAGTAGCACAGTGACATCTATCAGTGTTTCAAGAAAGGACTAGAAAAAGAAAAAAATCATGATACTGTACGCAGACGACTTGATCAACTATTTGGACGTCCAACACCGTCTGTTTGTCCTGCATCTACTGTATTGAACTTTGATGTGGTACACATACATCACATGCCTTTACTGCAGTAAAACAATTCCTCCCCCCAAGCTTACTACATTGATCACTGACTAATCAGTTCCTGGAACTCACATGGATTTGTCTTTGTCTGAAAATACGCCGTTTATCAACTGCTGTAACTGGACTTTAGTGGACGTCTGGACGTCGTCCCCCACTCCTGTGTGTACACCGACGATACTCTCTGGATTGTTAGTATTGTATATTAGTACTATGACTATTTCTTAAAGGGCTGGATTGAGGAGAAATACATCTCATCAGGCACAGAAATAGGTTTTCAATTCAACGCCTTCATTAAAAATGCTGTTGAAAGGAAGTTAATCAGGAGCAGAGCGCCTTCATTACTGTGAGGCAGCAGCGCAGCCACTGTGTGGGGATGAATGAGTCACTCCCATCATAATTACAGCCATGAATATTGCTGTTCAACGCACACACACAGGCAGCAGTGAGCGATGATGTCCACTGCTCCACAGGTTTGGGGTTTATTTTATTTGAAATGATGCAGAGGTATTGACAGGAAATCCGTTTTCTGATTTCACTCGCTGCTGCTGCCGTGGTTCACTTCAGCGCAGGAGTCGGACACAAGACGTATCCAAAACAGCTCAATTACCCAGAATACTGCTTGGCGAGTGGTGAACTGCTGACAGGCTGGAAAACACACGGAGGAGAGAAAAGACTGAGGGACGGTCGGTCGGTCGGTCTGTCGGTCGGTCAGTCGGTCAACAGAGAACGTCTCACTTCCTGAGAAGAAGGTCAGCAAAGAACGTCTCACTTCCTGAGAAGAACCCCATCACAGTAGAACAGTGAGAGGAAAACACTGTGTTTAGGAGGGAAGATGGCTGCCGCACACTGACACTACAGCCTCAGGCACCAGGGACACACACTCAGCCCCCCCCCCCCCCCCCCCCCCCCCCCCACAACAGTCATAAACCAGACCATACAGGGGAACAACATAAATGTTAAAAACAAATGATCCAGTTCCAGAACAGAGTCGCGTCACTGCTGCAGTGATATGAATAATAAATAAATACATCAGAGTTGGTCTCAGTGACGGCCTGAACTTTCATACTTCATGTTTTTTATTTATAATTTTTTATTTATGATTTGGACACAGAATGAGCATGGGGCATCAGATGTGTTTTTTTTTTAAATTTAATTTAATTTAATCTAATTTAATTTGAAGTCTTTGACCTGACGGTGGTCCAGTTGCACCTCCGTCTGTCGTCTCTGTGTAGAAAACAACGTTGATTCAAATCATCGTTGATTCAAATCATCGTTGATTCAAATCATCGTTGATTCAAATCATCTTTTCTTTGTTTACAGACTGACTGGTTGTGTTCGGGGCAGAGCTGAAATAAAGAGCTGGATTTCCATCATTTATTCAGTGGGAAATCTTTTCTAGTAAAAGCTGTTTTTTTAAAAAAAATTCCCTTTAATTACACATCTGAGTCGACAGTTGGTCAAAGGAAACCTGATAGAAAGTACAGGAGACAGGAGTGGTGACATGAAAACACACTCTGTTTCTGACTTTGTTCCCAGTGTGTGTGTGTGTGTGTGTGTGTGTGTGTTGTATGTGGCTCCTTTTGCTGGTTAAATGGACTCAGCAGACATTTTCAGGACTGTGGGGTATTGAGAGTGTCACGGAGCATGACATTAGCCCGCAGCTCCACTACAGCGCCGCTACAGCGCCGCTACAGCACTGAATGAACGAGTGAGCTCTGCACTATCTGACAGGCTGATTCCTGGGGCCGGGGAGAAGCCCCGAGGGGTGCTGCGAAGCGTGATATTAGACCCTCAGCTTCGCAGCGGGAGGATTCAGAGTCCTAACAACCTGTGAGCGTCTCTGAGCCGCGGGCTGTGAGTGGCAGCTGCTCTGGTCCGGAACAAACAGCCCTGCTGGAAAAGATGGGAACTGACGGAGCCGAGGAGAAGGTCATCGGTGTGAATCTGTCCGCGGGACACAGTCCACGTCCACGGGACGATGACGGAGCCGGAGAGTTTGAGGTCGTCCTGCTAATGGGACGGTGAACTCACCACAGATGAGTGGGCAGCGTGATGGGAGTCCAGGTTGATGTCCGGTCTGGACCGGGAGCCGCTGAAAGACTTTTATTTTATTGGCTGCACAAAGAGCCCCCCCCCCCAGTGTCATTCAGAGGTCAGTGTTATTACCTCTGGTGCTGGGGGTCTGTGTACTCGGTCCAATCACTGACTGTATGTAAAAAGAGGTCAGTTTCCTGGTGAGTCCAGTCTCCGTGGGTCGTGAACTTTTACCGTACCGTGGCCGCGTGACGTTAATCACCGATCAGTTTCTTAAACACCACAGACTGGATCGCTTTGAGGTTATGTTTGTTCAGCACGTGGCCTGTGGGTTTCTATTTTAGTGCCCCCTGAAGGTGATGCAGAGAACTGCAGGTGTTTGGTCAATAATTCATTTTCGTCTCAGTAGTAACTGCGCCTGATCTCCATCAACTCCCTGAGTAAAGACGCGCCTCAGGACACGTTCTCCAGTTAGATCAGGACTCCGTGGAACTTTCCAGTTTCTCTTCGTC